GTGGGTGGGTCGCGAGGGGCTCCCTGCCCGGGGTGAGGGGTGTGCTGGGAGAGAGAGGGCCCCAGGGTGCCAGGCTGCCCCGCGTGGTCTCTTCAGTGCTTCCCGCCTGGCCGGGCCATGCTAGAGAGGGCCAGCTCCCTGCGGGTCGAGTGCGGGCGGGATGGCTAGGACTAGCCTCTAGGACAGACCCCACCTAGCAGTCGCTCCTCTCCATCACCCTGTCCAGGTCCCTAGTCTAGGGCTGCTGGGTCCTCCCTCTGCCCCTCCCCTCCTCACCCCCTCCCCAAGTCACAAGTTTTCTCTTTGGGGCTTGTTGCTGCAGTCCCTGCTCCAGTACCGAGTACCTGCTGGGCCCTGGGCACGCAGGGGCCGTAGCCCCACTGTGTGTGGGAGCCATGAGGATCCTGGCTAACAAGACAAGGTGTGTGGGTGTCATGGAGGGTGGGACGTGTGTGTGGAGTGTGGGGAAGGGAGGGGCCCAGGAGCCATGGGGCTGAGCTGTGCTGGCTTGGGGATCCGGCCTCCCTGGCACCCAGCTCAAGGGGGGTCCGAATGGGAAGGCCTGCCCTGAGCCAGGAGCCCAGCCGAGTGCCTGGACCCAGGGGGCAGGGGAATGGCAACCAGCTAGGCCTGCTGTGTAGTCCCTTCAGCCTTTGCTGCTGAGAAACAGTTTGAGTGGAACCCCTACCTCCCACCCCACTGTGGGTCCCCTGGTGCCCTCTGGCCCCAGTCTTGCTGGGAGGGGGTGGCCAGCCTTCCTCCCTTCCCCAGGAGGAGCCTGCAGACAGGCCAGGCGGCTGCAGGACAGCGGAGCTGAAATAAATCTGAGCTGGTGTGGAATGAGGGGGATAAATATCCTCTCCCAGTGATGTGATCTTTCCAGCGGCTATTAATAGGTCTCCGGGGATGGGGAGGTGGTGGGGGGAGCCAGCTGGATCTTAAAGGGCCCACAGCCTTGGAATCCTTGGCTGTGAGCTGCACTCCAGTCCGCTCCACACACCACTCCCCTTCCCCTTTCTTCCTGCTCCCGCCTGCCCGCCAGGCCTCTGGAGGCTTCCCCTCCCGCTCTGGGGAGCTGTCTGGACCAGTGGGTACCAACCACTCGGTGGTGCTTTCCCCACTTCCCCGGGGACCAGGGCTGGGCATGAGTAGTGACCCTCAGGTCCTGTGCCCCCCCTGTTGGTGCTGGGACACGTGGAAGTTGAGGTTTGGGACCTTGGAAGGAATCCAGACAGCAGACCCTAGAAAAGAGGATGCTAAGTGTTGGTCAGGTGCTAGTGTGTGAGGGTGGTGGTGCCTGGAGGCTTGCAGCCTGAGGGGTGTTGGGGTGTGGGTGGATCTGCCAGGAAAGGCTCTGGTTTTCATTTGAATTGTGGGGATTGAGGGTGGAGGGTGCCCCATCTTCACTCTCCAAGGTGAATGGCATCAGCCCTTGTCTGAGGAGCAGGGGAAGGAGGTCGGAATAAGCTGGGCATCTTAAGATGCCACTCAGCCCTCCCTCCCCTCCCAGTAGGTGAGGCAGGAGGGGGCAGTGAAAATGCAGGCGTGCTAAGCCCCTGTCACGATTAACCTTTCCTGTCTCTCTCGCCTTCTCCCAGGTTGCCCCACCCCAGGAGGAGAGAAGCTCCAGGGAGCCCACCACTGTCCCCCCGTGGCCACTGCCCCCCTGCCCCATCCAAACCAATGCACCCAGAAAATAAGCTGACCAATCATGGCAAGACAGGGAATGGTGGGGCCCAATCCCAGCACCAGAATGTGAACCAAGGACCCACCTGCAACCTGGGCTCGAAGGGTGTGGGGGCGGGGAACCATGGGGCCAAGGCCAACCAGATTTCACCCAGCAACTCCAGTCTGAAGAACGCCCAGGCCCAGGCCGGGGCGCCCCCTTTCAGCTCGCTCAAGGGCAAAGTGAAGAGGGAGCGGAGTGTGTCTGTGGACTCTGGAGAGCAGCGTGAGGCTGGGACGCCCTCCCTGGACTCAGAGGCCAAAGGTACCCCCTTTTCTGACCCCCAGGAGTCCAGCATGTTCCACAGCCCATGGCCCACATTGCGCGGAGCCCATCTTTCTGTCCCCTTCCCGGGCCTCATCCCCTGCTTCTCTCCAGCATGTATGTGGGGACACCTTTCTGTTACCCCATTACACCCACCCACCGGTGGTGTTCTCAGGATTGGGAATGGCCAGGGGGGAGATTTGTCATCCTTAGGTGCCACCCATGCTGGGGCCACCCAGTGGTGGGGTTCCCGGTCAGTCTCTTCCTCTCCGGCTGTCCCGCCAGAACCTCCAGGGGAGGAGGAAGGTGCTCCGTGAGGAGGAGCAGGCCCACACCCCCAGGAGCCTCCTGGCTCTGGGCTGGTGGGAGCTGCTGCAGCCACTAGCCTGGAAGAGGAGCAGAGGCCTCCCCCTCCCCCGCCCCGGCCTTAATTAGAACCAGTTGTGCTTGGTGCTGGTTGGGGGAGGGGAGGCAGGCCATGGGGCTGTAGAGAGAAATCAGGAACAAATGGTGGTGTGGTGGGGGCCAAGGGCTGGCGAAATGCCCACCACAGCCTGGGCATCGCCCTGGGGTATCTGGGAGAATGGGCCTGGAGGTGGAGGACAGGCTGAGGTACTCACTCTGACCCGCCTGCCCCTCCTGCCCAGCAGAGGTGGCGCCCCGGAGCAAGCGGCGCTGTGTGCTGGAGCGGAAGCAGCCGTACAGCGGAGACGAATGGTGCTCAGGACCAGACAGCGAGGAGGACGACAAGCCCATCGGGGCCGCCCACAGTGAGTGCCCATCATGCCAGGGTGCTGTGGCCCACGCTGCCCTTGGGGGTGGCTGCCCTAAGGGAGCCTTCCTCCCTTCACCTCGGGCTTCAGAGTGCTGAGCCTGGGCAGACAGGGAGCAAGGGTCAGGAGCCCAGGCTCCTTCTTTCTAATCCCACCTCCAGACTGTTGCTCCCTGCACTGTGACAGCTCTGCCCCTGCCTTCCAGGTGCTCAGTGCCCCCCTTTTCCGAAGGACCAAGGCAGGGTGGGGTGAACCTCAGGTGGCCCCTCCTGGCTCTTCCACTTATACCTCCATGAATTGCTGGCCTGTGCTGCCACCTGCTGGTCAGTGGAGGGAGGACAGCGAGAGTCCAGCATCACTTGGAGTGGGACAGTTGGCTCTGATGTCCAGGCCGTTCGGGGGTGTGAGCTAACACTGGCTGTATCTCTGGCGCACCTCCCTGACCTTTAACTGACTCCTGGCAGGTGCCCAGAACACATCACCAGGACAAAGTGTGGGTGGGTGCCCACTCCTCTTATTCTGGGCATGTGTTTGGCCTTGCCCCAGGGATGCGGGCAGAACCAGACATAGCCCTGCCCTTGGGGTGCCCATGCACGTTTATTTGGTGCTTTCCCTCAAAGCTTACAGCTGTTCTTTTTTTGGGGGGGGGGAGGTGAAACAGGTTAATGCATAAGAAACTCCAGAGAATGTTCAATCGTGAATTTGTTGAAGGCAGGGGCTTAGAAGGAATGAAGAAAAAAAACTAAGCTGGCTAAACTTCCTACTGTGTGGTATTCAATCCTTAGCCCAGCCCTGCAAGGCAAGTGTGATTATGGTGCCTGCCCCAGAGGAGGAAGCAGACTTAGCAGAGGCTTGTGGAATGAGGGACTGTGTCCATGGAGGTGGCACATAGATCAAATACTGAATGAAGCCTGTGCGGCTGGCTGGGACTTTAAAGGTCATCTGGTCCCACGTCTCCCCAAAGGGACTGACTCTCGGTTCATGAGCCCCTGGCTGAACCCTTCCCTGATAGATGAGGGTGGTCACTGCCTCTAAGGACAGATACCCCTCCTCTATCTTATTCACTTTTAAAAACATAATGTTTTAAAATAGATTTCAGAGAGGAAGGGAAAGGGAGAGAGAGAGAGAAACATCAATGATGAGAGAGAATCATTGATTGGCTGCTTCCTGCAACCTGGGCGTGTGCCCTGACTGGTAATCGAACCATGACCTCCTGGTTCATAGGTCAACACTCAACCACTGAGCTACGCTGGTTGGGCTGTCACATTGACTTTTATGATGCTAGCCTGCACCATTGTAAAAATGCGGGGAGACACTGGGAAATACAGAGAAGATGTTGCTAACACCTCATACTCAGTTCCAAGGCAACCATTAGTACTATTTTAGTTGTACTGCCTGCCACTAGATTCTCAAAGAGTTCTTTTTGTTTTAAATATGTTTTTTTTACATTTATTTTTAAAATATATTTTATTGATTTTTTTACAGAGAAGAAGGGAGAGGGATAGAGAGTTAGAAACATCGATGAGAGAAAAACATTGATCAGCTGCCTCCTGCACCCCCGCTACTGGGGATGTGCCTGCAACCAAGGTACATCCCTTGACCGGAATCGAACCTGGGACCCTTGAGTCCGCAGGCCGACGCTCTATCCACTGAGCCAAACCGGTTTATTTATTTATTTATTTATTTTTTTAGAGAGAGAGGAAGGGAAGAGGGATAGAGATATAAAAACATCGATGAGAGAAACATCATCAATTGGCTGTCTTCTGCACGCTCCTCTCTGGCATGTGCCCTGACTGGGAATCGAACTGTGATCTCTTGGTTTCTGGGTCAATGCTCAGCCACTGAGCCATGCCAGCCAGGCTCTCAAAGAGTTCTTAATGGTGGGGCAGTATAATACAGAGTGAATAGCACAGACTCTTCATTCAGACCACCTTGGTTTATAGCCCAGGTTTTCACTAATTATTTGTATAAATTGGGGAAAGGGCCTCGGTTTATTCACCTATAAAAATATTTACCTCATAGGGTTGATATGTGGTGAGTTGGTACATATAACACACTTAGAACAATGTTAGCTTTTCAGAGAGGAAGGGAGAGGGAGAGAGAGATAGAAACATCAATGACGAGAGAGAATCATTGATCGGCTGCCTCCTGCACATCCCCTACTTGGGATTGAGCCCACAACCTGGGCATGTGCCCTGACTGGGAATGAACCAGTGACCTCTTGGTGTATGGTTCAGTTCTGACGCTCCACTGCTGAGCCATACTAACTAGGCCCCGGTGGTTTTTTAGCTTGTGACTTGCTTTTGAACTTGTTACAAAAAATAGATTTCTTTGACTACCCCTTAGGCAGGACAGGAGAATTGAGGCTGAGAGGGACTAAGTGTCTTGTTCATAAGGTTACACAGCCAGCTAGTTAGTGGTAGGGCTAATCACTCATCGTCTGAATCCTCAGTTGGTGCACCCTTTTTGCCTTCTCCCCTCGCAGAGACCAGGGCATGAGGATGGAGCAGGGCTAAGAGCAGGTTCCGCAGACTCTGTGGGCGTCGCATTCGGGGTGCCAAACCTTTCCCTTTCTTCTCATCCACATGGTCCCCACGATTGCCATCCTGGCCAAAGACTGGTCTAGGGCAAGTACGTGTGGAAAGCAAGCTAGGGAAACCACCAGAATGTGGTAGCAAAGGGCCCGTGGGCACCACCTTCCACAGTGAACCTTTCCCTTGGCGCCTCTGGGTGATGGGGGTGCCAGCTAGTTCTCCTTTCTAAGTCTGGACTGCTGACCCTCTTTCCTTCCCTTCCCTGCAGATTGTAATGTAGGAGACCCTGCCATGGCGGCCCCACAGCTGGGTCCCGGCCAGGCCCCCCAGCTTCCCCTCAGTGAGGGCAGTGCCCCAGGCCCCCCGCATGGGCCCCCAGCAGCCCTGCGGCCAGATGCCTCCGGGGGCAGTGGTGTCCCCGGAAAGCCTCCCTCACAATTCGTGTATGTCTTCACCACCCACCTGGCCAACACGTAAGTGCCTCGCAGACGGCGCTGGCTCTCTTTACCCAGCAACCTGGAGCCTGGGGTCCCGCGGGAGTGTCTGTAGGGCCAGGGTTGGTTTGGGTTGGGTTGGTTGGGTCGAGTTGGTTGGGTTGAGTTGGGTTGGGTTGGTTGGGTTGGGTTGGTTGGATTGGTTTGAGTTGGTTGGGTTGGATGGTTAGGTCGGGTTGGGTTGGTTGGGTCGGGTTGATTGGGTTGGGTTGGGTTAATTGGGTTGGGTTGGGTTGGTTGGGTTGATTGGGTTGGATCGGGTTGATTGGGTTGGGTTGGGTTAATTGGGTTGGGTAGGGTTGGTTGGGTTGATTGGGTTGGATCGGGTTGATTGGGTTGGGTTGGGTTAATTGGGTTGGGGTCAGGTTGGTTGGGGTGGGTTGGGTCGGGTTGGGTCGGCTTGGGCCCGGTTGGGTTGGGGTGGTGAAGGTGAGGGGCCCTCCTGCCTCCTCTCTGAGCTGTTGTGTCAAACCCCATACAGGGCTGCGGAGGCTGTGCTGCAGGGCCGGGCTGACTCCATCCTGGCCTACCACCAGCAGAACGTGCCCCGGGCCAAGCTCGACCAGGTGGGTGTGGTGCTGGCTGGGCCTGGGGCCTCCACTAGCAGCCCCCTGGGCCGGTGCGCCCTGCCCTGTCTCATGCTCTGCCTTTGTCCTCTTGCAGGCCCCCAAAGCGCTCTCCACCCCAGAGCCGCTCCCCCTGAGCACACCGTCTGCAGGCACCCCACAGTCCCAGCCACCTCCACTGCCACCACCGCCCCCAGCCCCTGGCAGTGCCCCCCCTGCTCTGCCTTCTGAGGGGCCTCCTGAGGACACCAATCAGGACCTGACACCCAACTCAGTGGGAGCTGCCAGCACGGGTGGTGGGACTGGGGGTACCCACCCGAACACCCCTACAGCTGCTACCAACAACAACCCGCTGCCTCCAGGAGGAGACCCCAGCGGCGCCCCTGGCCCTGCCCTCCTTGGGGAGGCCGCCCCCCCAGGAAGCGGGCAGCGCAGCCTGGTGGGCTCGGAGGGGCTGTCCAAGGAGCAGCTGGAGCACCGGGAGCGCTCCCTGCAGACTCTGCGGGATATTGAACGGCTGCTGCTCCGCAGTGGGGAGACCGAGCCTTTCCTCAAGGGGCCCCCGGGAGGCGCAGGTGAGGTCGGACCACCAGCACCAGCCCCTCCCGCGCCCCCGCAGCCCCCCACTGCCCCTCCTGGCGGGCTGAAGAAGTACGAGGAGCCCTTGCAGTCCATGATTTCGCAGACACAGAGCCTAGGGGGCCCCCCACTGGAGCATGAGGTGCCTGGGCACCCCCCAGGCGGGGACATGGGACAGCAGATGAACATGATGATGCAGAGGCTGGGCCAAGACAGCCTGACGCCCGAGCAGGTGGCCTGGCGCAAGCTGCAGGAAGAGTACTATGAGGAGAAGCGGCGGAAGGAGGAGCAGATTGGTCTCCACGGGGGCCGCCCGCTGCAGGACATGATGGGCATGGGCGCGGTGATGGTGAGGGGGCCGCCGCCTCCCTACCACAGCAAGCCTGGGGACCAGTGGCCACCCGGGATGGGCGCCCAGCTGCGGGGGCCCATGGATGTCCAAGATCCCATGCAGCTCCGGGGCGGACCTCCCTTTCCTGGCCCCCGTTTCCCAGGCAACCAGATGCAGCGGGTGCCTGGGTTTGGGGGCATGCAGGGCATGCCCATGGAGGTGCCTATGAATGCCATGCAGAGGCCTGTGAGGCCGGGCATGGGCTGGACCGAAGACTTACCCCCCATGGGGGGGCCCAGCAGTTTTGCTCAGAACCCCGTGCCCTACCCAGGCGGGCAGAGTGAAGCGGAGCGGTTCATGGCCCCCCGGGCTCGTGAGGAGCTGCTGCGGCACCAGCTGCTGGAGAAGCGGCCCCTGGGCATGCAGCGCCCCATGGG